GATTCATCTTCTATTGAATTTCCATCTTCTGTATAAAAACGAAATGCCACATTATATTTAATGATATTTTCAATATCTTTTTCTTCAATACGTTGCTATATAGTGCTCAAAATCCATTTGTCTGATTGAGTTGCTAGAATTACCTAACCTACTTAAAGATTGAACATTTGATCTAATCTTTGAGATCGAGTTCTATATGGCATGATATTACCACTTCTTATATTGTAAAATCTTTTGACAGATTACTCATTTAGATATCTAATCGATATGCCTTCTTCAGATCGATCTTCAACGACTCCTCTTGACCAATTCAATCTGGCAGTACTACGACAAAGACGTAGACAATCTACATAAGTACCTATCTAAAGTTGATCGATGAAATCCTTATACTAAGGATTGAGCGAGTAAGAATATTTAATGAACTAACTTTATTCAATTGATTACTTGATCATGCCATTCAGTACGATGTGCATTATGCTCATAAATCATACGAGATGGATCCATTATAACCCTAAACATTTAGCTTACCTTCTCATCTTAGAGATTATTGGAAATGTATTTCAATACAGACTTTATGAATGCTTCTATATTGAAAATCACTCTTTCTGGATAAGCTTTATGGTTGATGATGAAATTCACACAGATGCTCATCAATTCTGGCAAATATTGTCGACCATCTGCTGTGACAGTCTCTTCCATATACTATTCTACTCTTTATAAAGCTTGAAGAATCGGTTCAAATTACTATTCACTTTTGGCTGTCTTTAACTTATCTACTTAAGACACCAATTATTTCATTGCCTGTATTTCTTCACTCATTTATATTTATATTTCATCTTAAATTTTACAAATGTAGTTTATATAGTAAATAAAATAATCCAAAACAATTATTTCAGATCCTTTTACATCATGAATGCTAGTCCTAAATACTCACTACTTTTCGTATTTCCATCCTGTTATAATTAAATAATATTCTTAATAGTCCTTTTTCCAAATAAATACTTTTTTATTAAATATCTATATTTTACATTTGAAGAAATCTGATCATATCTGCTCTTTCACATAAATAAAACTTTAGTTTAACTAACGTAATCTTGGTTTCCAATAACAAATTTATTTCATATTAATAATAAAAACAACAAAAATATCATTTACTATATTATGTTTCACTTAAAAACAAATCCTAGCTGAATTGCACTAATCTTTTTAAGTTTTTTCTCTATTATTTCTGGAATAATTAATGATGCTTATCATTAGTATTACTTAAATATTTTAAGAATTCAATCTCTCATTGATATGTATTTTCTTTAAGTTCAAAGTTTTTTTAAATCATTAGGAATTTCAATTGATCATTTGACTTTTTGTTAATAAGAAACCATTATTATTCAATTAATATCTATAAATTAAATACTTTTTTTTTTGATAGAATAATCATTCTTTAAACTTGACAGAAAAAATTATAATATTTTGCATATAGGTAAAATTTACAAAATATAAATTTAATTGTCTAAGAGTGCCATTTTATAATTTTTGAAAACAAATTTTAATAAAATCTTCTGAAATTTCAATAACATTTTAAAATAACTGTAAAAATAATTGATGCACTAATAACATTGCTTAAAATTTTGAAAAAAAATTAAAAAAGATAACCTAAAATTCTTTTAACTTTAAAGTTCAATATAATACTCAAAAAGCTTATGTTAATTATACTATTATATAATTATTGATATTCAATAAGATTAATAAAATTTATAATAATTTGATATGCAATCTAAAAATGAATATACTTTCTTAAATTTATATATAATTAATCGCTTATCATACTTACTCATTTTCTAAGTTTTCTATCTTTTCGTTATCTTTCTTCCAAGACTTCCTTGTATTTCATAGATAAATCAAAATCATCCAATTACCACCCTATTAGATCTTCTCTATATTATGAATCAGAGGCCAATGGAAATCTTTCAGGCTTACATTTGAATGGAAAATCTTTCATCAAATTGAATATTGTTTTACCATTCATCTTAAGAACTTCTTCTTACTACCAACTAATATATAATTTCAAATGATTTTATACTTTCCTTCAATTTCAGCTAAAACTTATGCCTATTGATTAGACATTTTAATTTTCCCATCTTTTTTGTACTTTTATATAATATTCTGGTTTACTTTGTATACTTTACCCTCAAAATAATCATATTGATTTTTTCCTTTTTTTTAAGGATTGAAATACAATTCGCTTATAATTTGATTTTTATGATCGACATATAATTATTGTCCTTCAGTATAAAAATAACGATCTCCATAAGTAATACCAGTCACATAACCTTTACAATAACTATATTCAATTTTTGCATCACTAAATTCTATTACAATTTTACCCTCATTACCTCCTGTTACTGTATTTGCCCCAATACTAGCAGTTGATTCCAAATTACCATATATTTTATAACCCCTACCATACATAATAAATGCAGCAATTGGAGGATGATGACTAATTTATTCTAAATAAACTGGGCATCCCTTAATCCATAATTAACAAGTTTCTCCTAAAATTGGGTTAAAAGGTTTTTCTAAATTCAAATAAATTATTGTAAATGAAAGTGAGAATGCTATTACTGCTCCCATTTATTATACAGGATCATTTGGAACATTTTCTAAGAAATGTGGAGCATAAGCAAAAGATGCACCAAATCTTTATAAATTTGTTCTTTTTTCAAAAACATATACTGGAAGAGAAACACTTAAAATAGATTTACCTTTCAATAAATTAGATCCCATTTTGCTTAAAATGTATTTTAATACTTTTTTCTAAGCTTCAAGTTTTTTAGCATTCACAAATTTTAGATACCCTTTTTTAATATCAAATTACCATTCATCCCTATAAAAAAAATGAAATCCATTAATTTCATTAATTCTTTCATATTAAGTATCTTCTTTAATTGTAATAGTATATGGATGTAATTAAGAACTATACATTTAATTTCCTAATACAAAGTCTAATAAATCTTTATAAAAATCATCCTAATTTTGAATCAATTATGATTTTTCCCACTCAGGTCTTATATCTTCATGCATAAATGCTTCATCTACTTCAATCTCATCTTCAGACTCATCCTCAATTTTAATTTATTTTTTCTCTTCTATTTCCACTACTTATTTATTATCATCTATAGTGTCTGTATTTTATGCTTAAATCTATTAATCATCAATAATTTGATGATTAATAGGAACATTAAAATTTAAAACTTAATTTTATTCCATAAATTTATCTTATTAAATTATAATTTCTTAATTTTATTTTTAAATTAATGTAAGATCTTAATCTCTAATTTAATAAGAATTTGTTTACTTTGAGTCAGAATAATTTTGAATCTTTTATTAATATTTTTATTTAATTTGTAAATATGATATTGAATCTTATCTTGTAAATTCAATTTCTTTTGTCAAATCAATTTATGGTTATGATTTATGCATATAATTATTACCTATATTATTCTAGACATATTCTGGAATAACCAATTATTAAATATTTTTAGATTTAACTGGACGACTCTCATAAATATTAATTAAATCTAAAATAAATTAAGGTGCTTATTTTTATAATTTTAATTCCATAACATATTAGATTAAGTGAATATATTCTTTTAAATATTAAATTGTTAATTATAAATCTTATGTTTATGTCATATATCCACCATTAATAGTTTTTGTATCAACAACAAATAGTTTAGGTGTATGTTATTATAAAAAAACAGCACAAATATTCCAATGTATAATACTACTACTTTTATCATCAGATTTATCTATTACATATATTTCATTATAATTAGTAAAAAATTATCTAACATAATTAAATGTTCTAGGTTAATAAAAATAACCAAATGGTTCTCTTGTTTCCTTTATTTTTACTGTTGTTAAACCTATATTTTCCAATTATTCAATATTTTTTATTTATTTATTCCATTTTGTTTGAGTTTTTATATCATATAATGCTAATATTAAACTATTGGAAGTAGCATCAGTAATAGGAAGATATATTCTGAAATTATATAAATCATTTTTATTCTGCATAATTCTTATAGTATCTTCAAATAAATATAAATTGAAATCAGATTCATCTATTAAATAATCATAACTTAATTTATATTACAGATCTTTAAATATTTATATTAATTCTGGTTATTCTATTTAATTATCTTTACGATTTGTTTAATTTTAATTTAATATTGCTGATTCACCAAGAGATTATTGTAAAAATATTATTCTTTCTTAATCAATCTATTTTTAACTATTTTATTCAGTTTAATAAAAAGTTTATTGATTATCTAATTAGTTGATTGAATAATGTTTTTATTGATTCAATTCTTAAGAATAAAACAAATTTTAGTTTATACTTGGTCTTTCTCTATCCATTTATTTCAACAGTTCTATATTGATATCTTTTACCATAGGTTCAACAGTCATAGTCTCATATCGTCTTCCCCTTCTGCCTTAAAAAACACATTATTTTATATCATTAAACCATTAATTAACATAATTTTTATCATCATCAGCAAACCAAAAGTTTTATGAGAGAGATTTATGCAAAAGTAAAAATTTGTATCTCTTGTTATCTTAAATTGGATTTTAGATTTCAAAGAAACGTAAATTGAGAATGATTTCTTTTTCAGACAAAATTATCAATTCGCATAGATCTATATCTATAGTTAATTATCTTGTTTTCCAAAATGATTCATCCTTCATTTTGATATCAATTTAACCTGTCTTTTTTGGTTGAAACATGTATATAAGAATTGTCTGTCTAAATATTTTTTCTTTAGTTTCTCTACTTACCTTTAATCTGCTCAAATCTTTGTCAAATGCAAGATCCTAATATAAAGATTCGACCTTTTCAATAACATTTTCTGATATTTCTTATGGGTGAACTTATTAATACTTTAAAAATCGTTTATAGAGACTAACTATTGATTCTTCTTAATTCATTTATTAATAACTAATCAAAAATCATCAAACATATGTTATTTTTCATCATCTATTGGTTGAATATCATCCCTTTCTTCTGGATACTTATCAAACCATTGTGAATCTGTTTCATTTCTTAAAAAAGGAATCCATGGAGGTTGGATTTTCTTTTCATATACTTTTTACCATGGAACACCTCTAAAGAATTTATGATTCATTAAAGCTGCACCTTCCTAATTTAACAAAATCAAATTACATCTTCAACACCCAATCTTTTATTAACATCTGAATTTAATAATTTTCTTATAACATCTTTGGCTCTTACATGTAAAAATTTAGGAAATTCTATAACTCCATTTAAAATCTTCTTATATATATTTGTAGGCTCAATATCATAAAAAGGAGGATGTCTAAATAATTTATTATATTTAATTATATACCCTGCTAACATTTCAAATATTAATACTCCTAATGCCCACCAATCTATAGATTTTCCATATCCTGTTTTTGCACCTTAAATTAATTCAGGAGCCAAATATTCAGGTGTACCACACAATGTTTAAGTATGATTGTTTTTAATCTTCTTTGCAAATCCAAAATCTGCTATTTTTATATGTCCTTCTCTATCAATTAATAAATTTTCTGGTTTTAAATCCCTATAAACAATATCCTTTCTATGTAAATGCTGAATTGCCAACAATATCTCTGATACATAAAATAATGTAATATCTTAACTAAATCTGCCATCTTTTCTTAAACGAGAAAATAATTCACCTCCTGATACAAATTCAAATAACATATAAATGCATTTAGCATCTTAAAATGAACCTTTTAACTATACTAAAAATGGATGTTAGATTTCATTCAAAATATTCTTCTCTGATTTTATATGATCCACTTATTTTAATTTAATGATATCATGTTTCTTCATTATTTTTAATGCATAAACTTAACGACTTGGATCACGTTTTATACGAACTTGTTTAACACGTCCAAAAGTGCCTGTACCTAATGTTGTGTACACTTCAAAACTATCTATTGAGAGGTTTTAGAAAAGTTATTTATCATTAGGTTTTCCTTAAACAGACTAAAATGTTGGCTCTTCATCTGATGAATCTTCATTCATTCGTTCAAGTTACAATTTTTATAACTTACGTTGAAGTTCTTCAATTTGAAGTTGGTTCATGACAGTTAATAAAATTAATATATATATTTATTTATCTATCTAAATAATTTCAAGTTTACTCAAATTACTATTATCCTATAAATCTAAATTTGTAATAGAAAGAAGTTATTATATATGTTTTAAATTTTAACAAAAATATTTGATAAGATTTAATTACTAAAAACAATCATAATAAGATTGCATCTTATATAAATTCTTCAATACACTATTCAAATACCATGTCTCCTATTTCCATCAAGAGCTCCAACTTATCATCTGATGCTAAATTCCATCTATACTCATTATCTTACATCTGTCTTATATGATTGATTAATTACATCTGCAATCAACATTTTATTCACCCTTTATTCCCTTATTTATATAATAGGATCAAAGTAATATTGAAGATCTGTATCATATAAGTCTGGGTTCTATTGAATATTCATATGTTATATCATCATTTCCTAACTTTTCGCTTCTAAAATAATTTGTTTCTCTCTTGGAACATAATATTCTTCTTCAATTGGCAAGAACCCACATAAACAATTTGCAAGTTAAAGTATTTTAGATTCCATTTAATTCAAAATTTCACAGAAATCATCACATTTAATAGTTTAATGAGGAATTCTAGCTTCCCAAGGATAAGGTTCTCCATTATCTATTATTATAGAATTTATAAAAATACTATAATAATAAGGTCTAAATGTATTCAAAACTTCATTGCAAGCATCAAATATAGCTCTATTGTGAATATGTTCAAGTTCTTTTAAGGCTTTAGAAACATGATTCAAATTCTAAAAATCATTTTCTTATAAACGATGAAATTCATATTCAAAGAAATATTAATCTAACATAACAAAATTTACATAATTTTAATCTATAGTTTATTAAGAGTAATTTCCATAGAAAAGTTCTAATCTTTTTTATGGTGAATAACCATATGGAATGTTAATTTTTTAAACAATCTCTTCTCCATAATGAGGTAAGATATAATCAAATAAATTGTGAAGATAATATCTAATTTCAATAATTGAAGTTGGAATTTATGTTATTGTAGGTGTAAGTTATTATATTAATAATGCAAATTAGGTATATTTATTTAATAATTCTAAAAATATTATTATTATTATTACCTTCTGATAGATTATCTAAAATGTCACTGATTAAATCATTTGCTATTAAATCCAATTTATCTTTTATATTCATCTCTTCATTAGGTTAAATAATATCATCTTTAAGAAATTATCTTTGTTCAATTTAATTTTCTTAATCAAAATCTTCAGATTAAGTTTCTTCAAGTTTTTCTAATTCATTTTCAGATTGTAAATAAATATTATTTAAAATTTTAACTTCAGATTGGCTTTGTTTTGATTTTTTAAGATTACTTAATCTTTCTTCTACTTTTTATTTAAGACTTATAAGTTTTGAATTATTTTCATCAAAACTTGATGCAATCATTAAATCTCTTTAAATCTTTTTCATTGCACTAGCTTCTTTTTTCTTACTTAATTCAATATATTATCTTGTAATTTAAAGATCTTCTAATTCCTTTTTTAACCATTTATTTAATTCAATTTTTTTATTTTCATCATTTTCAATTTTTTCAATTTCTGTTAAATATCTTAATTAAATTGCTTCTTCTCTCATACTTAATAATTCTGATTCTTTTTTCATTAATTGAGATTATAACACTAATAAAGATGATTTACTTATCTCTGTTATCTAATCTTTAGATGATTAAATTAATCTAACTTCACTTTAATCTTAAAGTGCTTTAACTTTCTTTCTTGCTTCATTAAAATTCTTTTCTGTACTTGCTTCTTAAGATTACAACAATTTAATATCAAATGAATGATCAGATTAATTAGAATTAAGTTTGAATTTAGATAATTAGCTCTATATAATAGAAATAATAGCATGTTTCATTTATTTTTTTAATTTCCCCATAGCTAAAGTCTTTTTTTAATCATTATCATAAGTATCTAAATGAAAATTCCATCCATTTAATTGATTTTAAATTTCATCTACCATTTAAGCTTAATCTAAATTTGATGGATTTTAAATGCTTTATGAATAACTGAGTTGATTACTTTGACAAAGTTAAAAATCAGTTTGATTTTCTACAACTAAAGGTATTTTATTTATAACTTTTTATTCTTCAATAATTTAAGAATTAGGTTAATTTTTATTTTTAACAATATTTTAAATTTAATGTTCCTAATTAATATATTAATTATTTGAAACAATTTAATTTGATATTTTTTCTTTTTATTTTAATACTTTATTAATTTGGGAAGAATGTGATTTATTTTATATTTATTCATTAAATAAAGATTTATAATGTTTTTATATTAATCTCTTAATTTCTAATTAATTAATTTTATGATTTCTTTATTTTTTTCTTAAACAATATTATTTCCAAGCTTTCTATATTTTAATTACTGCTTTTTACATACCTTAATATATTAATATTTTGAAATTAAAATCAGATAAGGTTGCACTTATACTTTATGAATCTTAAAATAATAAAATCAATTTCTTTATCATTTTTTATAAATAAATAGTAGGAGGATACTTCTTAAATATTATATTAATTTCATTATCTAAAGCCTATTCACTATTATTATTCAATTATTAATTATTTTTTATTTACTTTTTTTAATTTTATCTTGCTGATGATGATGATGATCTTTTTTTGTTTGAATCATTTTATAGATCTCCAGATTTCAAAGAACTTTATTGAAAAAATTCTTATTTACTTTGATTGGCTAGACTATTTATATCATTTGGATTTCCTTTTTATTTTGATTTTTGCTTTTGTTTTATCATTTTCTTTTTTGTTTTTTTTGGTGATTTACTTTTTTAATCGATCATTTTATTTTTTAATTGAATCTTTTATTTCAACTGTTCTAATTTAAATTGATTCTCTATTCTAATTCAAATCATATAATTACTTTTTTTTTTATTCTTCTAATATCTGAATTTCATAATTTTTTGCACATATCGAATTTTAGGTCTTTTTTAAAGTCAAATATAAATCATTTGACTTTTAATTAGTCTGATTTTTGAATTCTTTAAAATTCTCATATTTAAGAGGGTTTTATTAATTCTAATCCTTTTATAAATTTTATTGTTTTATTTATAATTTAATTATATTGTCTTGTATATTCTCTATCTTAGAATTCTATTTTTTAAATAGTGTTTCACTTAAATTTATATCATTCTTCTTATGATTATGTTTACGGTTTGTTGTAGTTATTGATTGAACTGATTATTTAGGATTTTTATTTTAAGTTGGATAAAATGATTTTTTTGTTGTGTTTATTAAAGAAACAACTTTGCCTTATTTTTTTTTAGATGACCTTTTCTTATTAGTATTCTAAAACTATAGGGATTAAGACTTAAGTTTATCATTTTATTCTAATTGTTATTCAGGAGATTTAATTCTTGAACTATTTCTTTGTTTCTTATTGCTAATTGAGCTATTTGGTTCTTGTAAGTTACTTTCATAGAATTAAGTATCAAATGAATTTTGAGTATTCATGTATGAAAATAAATTAATAAATATGTATAAATTGATAACCTTAAATATGAAAATTTATGTATTGATTAAGTTATTATAGGAGACATGTTAAATATAAAATAAGTAATCACACAATCAAATATATAATTGATGATACTATGTTACTAAACTAACATTAATATATAATTTTAGATGTCAAATATACATATCCATAAAAAATTACTGTTAAACCATAAAATGTTAAATAATAAATTAAGCATTTAATAGAATTTAGTGGTTATATCATCAATACTCATATAAATTAATAATTTAGTATGAAGTAGAAATTAATATTTTATAAAAATAATTATATTAATATGTATATAATTATCTTATATAGTTTATAATTATAATTGATATTTACAATTCTATATTAATTAAATAGTTTTTCTACATATATATTTGTATTAATTTAATCTCTATTTTTCAAGATTTCGATACACATATTTAAAGGAAAGTATATCAGTATAAAGAATTTCCTGATAATTATCATAATCTAAAAGTATCAAAATATTCTAATAGTTTATGGAAACCTTAACATAAAGAAAATAAAGCAACTTCTTTTTTTACTGAATAAATTAATTAGTAATACAAATCATTAGTTTTCGTTGAAATAAATATTTATCTCATTTAAATTTCTTTTTAATCAAGAATATTCAGATAAGTTTCATTTCAATTATGTAATATTAATTATTATTTTGATTATAACACGAAAAAAATGTGAGAATATTGTAAATTTGTATTAAAAAGAATTAATCTGCTTATTGTTATAAAAATATCAAAATTTATTTTAAGACTTTCAGACAGTTTTAATAGAATAGATACCTACTAGATTACAAAAAGATAAGTACCGTTAGAATAGAAAATGAATTAAATGTATAATATGTTCCATTATATCATTTATAGTATTAATGACATACCATTATACAAAATGTATTAAATTAAATTATTTTTAAATAAAATAATATATAATTCCATGAAGAAAAATGAAATTGAATTTCAAGATAGTTCGATATCCATAAAGAGACAACCTCTTTTAGATAGGAAGAAAAGTTAGGATAAAGATTAAGGACTAAGAAAATCATCGTTTTATGAAGGTGGTTTAAGTTAATTGAAAAAATCTATAGTTGAGATTAGTTAGCATTAATAAATTGATAAACATGTATTTAATACAATATATTGTAGCCATCTCTTTAAGATTTATATGATTCATTGACACTTATGAGTCTATAATAGAAATACAATTAGCTTTTAAAATCTGTTCAAGAATAAGAAGTCTAAGAAATTATGGCTATTTTAGATCATTTTATTACAATTACACCTAAACCAAAACTGAGAGAAATTTATGATTAAAAATAATAGACTATTCTTCATATTTCATGTTTTAAAAACTTACCAACTGCTGTTGAAAGAATTTTAAAGTATGAAAAAGATAATTCTACAATTGAGGAATTCAATA